TAGTTGCTCTCTTGTACTTGTGTCCTTTGGTTACAGACTCCCCAACCACTGGAAACAGCCTTTCACAATGGAAAGACTTTTCGAAACAATTCACGGAGCCAGGATTGGACATTCTGAAATGTCGAGAGTCAATGTGATCCTTTGGAAGTGTTAAACGCTGAGAAATTGGCACAAAACCTTGTTTAAAGAGGAGAGGCGAGCGATCAGAGGTGCCCTTGTTTGGAAAGTTATAATGCGTTTGAGACTCGTATAAAAATTCATGCAATGTGCCGTGTTTGTTCGTTAAATCAGTGCCTGGGCCCTGGGTTGTGTAGTAATAATTGGCAGTCTCCATGCCTGCTCCCGGCAATACTGAAAAGGTATTAAATATTCATTTTAATAGACTTCAAAGCCCAAAGAAGCTTAATATTGTTTCAGAGAAACATTTGATTTTAAAGTCATGGGGGAGGGGGGGGGGAGATTGTTGGACTGGACAGGACAGCAACAACAACTTACATTTACACAGCACCTTTCATTATAGTGGGATCATGGAGTGTTTAATGTAACGTGGTTCAAAAAAAAAGTCACTCAATCCACCACTGTTTGTGGGACGCTGCCGTGCGCTATTGGCTCCGCGTTTCGCCTACAAAATATACAGTCAAGTCACTTTACAGTATATTCTGTGAAGCACTTTGAGACGTCTCAACAACATGATAAGGCGCTATTATCAAATGCAAGGATTATTATCATTATTATTGATGCCGAACCAGGGAGAAAGGGGAGGTGACTGTAGGCGCAATTGACGAAAATTCCAGCCGGTGTAGTCTGGCCCATCACACATTCTACCAACCAATGCAGAATATTTTTGGGGGAGGAAGGAAATTGGTAATAATCCTTTGCATCTGGTACAAAGCCCTGTCACATCGTCGAGCCGTCTCAAAGCACTTCACAGGTTTTCAGTTGCGAAGTGGGCAAACTGTGTGTGTCGTAGGCAGACGTGACAGACAATTTTGCACACAGCAACGACTCACAAACAGGCGTGAAGTGAACGAGTGATTCTTTCTGGGGGGAATAGTCAGCCAGGACACCGGGGGAGAGAAGGTTTCACACCAGCCAGAGTGCGGCACTTGCATCCAACCGTACAGTGCTCGCCCCACCGCCCACCTACCCCCAGCGCTGCACTGGAGTGTGAGCCCGGGTTGCGTTGACTGTAAGTCATGTAAAAAGCAACAGTTTTCAATATGAAAACATTACTTCCTGTTGCCAGGGCCACGGTAGAGTGAATGGACCGTGTGAGATTGGAGAGGTGCTGCCCTGTTTATTCTGGGAGACTTGGTGTCAGATTGTGAAATCGCATCGCTGTGCACAATGTGTGCCGGAGGGTGGGTGCGGGGGGGGGGGAGGAGGAGGAGGGGGCGCGAGTTGCATTGTGACATTGGATTGATTGAGAGATGAAACGTTTGCCAACGTATCTCAGTAATCACCGCGCTGCTATTTCCGGGATGAAGTGTCTCTTTTCCTTTCTCTGAATGTATCGCCAGGCTGCAATGAAACATCTCTGAAACAAAGCCTGGTTTGCAAACTTTATTCAACCTCCGGCTCGGGGATTGTGGCGCTCTAATCCGCCTCCTATTCAGCATCGACCTGAACAAAACAAATTGCAGTTTCGGCAAATAGTGCTCAGAGTAGAGTGGGCAATTTCCGTCAATCTCGGGGGCCCGGGCCAGGCCAATGCTGCCTGTGCGCACAGCTTTGAAACCTGCATTCAACAACAATAATAATAATAATAATCCTTGCGTTTGATACAGTGCCTGATCACTTCTTCGAGACGTTTCAAAGCACTTTAAAGTGAATTGACTGTCTATTTTGTGGGCGAAACGCAGCCGCCAATTGCGCACGGCGGCGTCCGTCCCGCACACAGCCGCGGGTTGAGCGACCAATTTGGTTTGTTTGTTTGTGTTGGGATACGGTATTGATTGGAAAAGGCCGTGTTTGGAGATTTCAACAGGACCTGAGCAGATTGTACAACTTATACAGATCAGATACAGGGTTATTGCGGGTTTTACTGTATTTGTGCAAATAATAAGTTATTATTATTAAATTCCTGAGTAAACCCCAATTTCCCCGCATTTGCAGCCGGTCCATCCCAACTCCCAAACTCACATTCAAAACCCTAACTCGGAGACAAGGCTGAGACCTGTTTATTGGGGGATTTTTTTCCCTCCTAAAGCACCTGCCAGGTCAGGCGGGCTCAGGTAAGGCGGGCTCAGGTGAGGGTGGCTCAGGTGAGGGTGGCTCAGGTGAGGGTGGCTCAGGTGAGGAGGGCTCAGGTGAGGGTGGCTCAGGTGAGGAGGGCTCAGGTGAGGAGGGCTCAGGTGAGGGTGGCTCAGGTGAGGAGGGCTCAGGTGAGGGTGGCTCAGGTGAGGAGGGCTCAGGTGAGGGTGGCTCAGGTGAGGGTGGCTCAGGTGAGGGTGGCTCAGGTGAGGAGGGCTCAGGTGAGGAGGGCTCAGGTGAGGAGGGCTCAGGTGAGGGTGGCTCAGGTGAGGGTGGCTCAGGTGAGGGTGGCTCAGGTGAGGAGGGCTCAGGTGAGGAGGGCTCAGGTGAGGGTGGCTCAGGTGAGGGTGGCTCAGGTGAGGGTGGCTCAGGTGAGGAGGGCTCAGGTGAGGAGGGCTCAGGTGAGGGTGGCTCAGGTGAGGGTGGCTCAGGTGAGGGTGGCTCAGGTGAGGAGGGCTCAGGTGAGGGTGGCTCAGGTGAGGGTGGCTCAGGTGAGGAGGGCTCAGGCTCAGTCAGGGGAGGGGGCGGGGCGGGGGAGTGTCAGTCAGGGGAGGGGGCGGGGCAGGGAGTGTCAGTCAGGGGGCGTGGGGGGGCGGGGAGTGTCAGTCAGGGGGAGGGGGCGGGGCGGGGAGTGTCAGTCAGGAGGAGGGGGCGGGGCGGGGGAGTGTCAGTCAGGGAGGGGCGGGGCGGGGGAGTGTCAGTCAGGGGAGGGGGCGGGGCGGGGGAGTGTCAGTCAGGAGGAGGGGGCGGGGCAGGGAGTGTCAGTCAGGGGAGGGGCGGGGCGGGGAGTGTCAGTCAGGGGGAGGGGGCGGGGCAGGGAGTGTCAGTCAGGGGGAGGGGGGGGCGGGAGTGTCAGTCAGGGGAGGGGGCGGGCCGGGGAGTGTCAGTCAGGGGGAGGGGGGGGGAGTGTCAGTCAGGGGGAGGGGGCGGGGCAGGGAGTGTCAGTCAGGGGAGGGGGCGGGGCGGGGAGTGTCAGTCAGGAGGAGGGGGCGGGGCGGGGAGTGTCAGTCAGGGGGGGGGGGGGGGGAGTGTCAGTCAGGGGAGGGGGCGGGGTGGGGGAGTGTCAGTCAGGGAGGGGGCGGGGGGGGAGTGTCAGTCAGGGGAGGGGGCGGGGCGGGGAGTGTCAGTCAGGGGGAGGGGGCGGGGCGGGGAGTGTCAGTCAGGGGGAGGGGGCGGGGCGGGGAGTGTCAGTCAGGGGGAGGGGGCGGGGCGGGGAGTGTCAGTCAGGGGGAGGGGGGGGGCGGGGAGTGTCGTCAGGGGGAGGGGGGGGGGGGAGTGTCAGTCAGGGGGGGGGCGGGGCGGGGCGGGGGAGTGTCAGTCGGGGGAGGGGGCGGGCGGGGAGTGTCAGTCAGGGGGAGGGGCGGGCGGGGAGTGTCAGTCAGAGGGAGGGGGCGGGGCGGGGAGTGTCAGTCAGGGGGAGGGGCGGGGCGGGAGTGTCAGTCAGGGGGAGGGGGCGGGGCGGGGAGTGTCAGTCAGGGGGAGGGGGGGGCGGGGGCGGGGCGGGGGGAGTGTCAGTCAGGGGGAGGGGGGGGCTGGGAGTGTCAGTCAGGGGAGGGGGCGGGGCGGGAGTGTCAGTCAGGGGGAGGGGGCGGGGCGGGGAGTGTCAGTCAGGGGAGGGGGGGGGCGGGGAGTGTCAGTCAGGGGGAGGGGGGGGCGGGGAGTGTCAGTCAGAGGGAGGGGGCGGGGCGGGGAGTGTCAGTCAGGGGAGGGGGCGGGGCGGGGAGTGTCAGTCAGAGGGAGGGGGCGGGGCGGGGAGTGTCAGTCAGGGGGAGGGGCGGGGCGGGGAGTGTCAGTCAGGGGAGGGCGGGGGAGTGTCAGTCAGGGGGAGGGGGCGGGCGGGGAGTGTCAGTCAGGGGGAGGGGGCGGGGCGGGGAGTGTCAGTCAGAGGGAGGGGCGGGGCGGGGAGTGTCAGTCAGGGGGAGGGGGCGGGGCGGGGAGTGTCAGTCAGGGGGAGGGGGCGGGGCGGGGGAAGTGTCAGTCAGGGGGAGGGGGCGGGGCGGGGAGTGTCAGTCAGGGGGAGGGGGCGGGGCGGGGAGTGTCAGTCAGGGGAGGGGGCGGGGCGGGGAGTGTCAGTCAGGGGAGGGGCGGGGCGGGGAGTGTCAGTCAGGGGAGGGGGCGGGGCGGGGAGTGTCAGTCAGGGGGAGGGGGCGGGGCGGGGAGTGTCAGTCAGGGGAGGGGCGGGGCGGGAGTGTCAGTCAGGGGGAGGGGCGGGGCGGGGAGTGTCAGTCAGGGGGAGGGGGCGGGGCGGGGAGTGTCAGTCAGGGGAGGGGGCGGGGCGGGGAGTGTCAGTCAGGGGGAGGGGCGGGGCGGGGAGTGTCAGTCAGGGGGAGGGGGCGGGGCGGGGAGTGTCAGTCAGGGGAGGGGGGGGCGGGGGGGGGCGGGGGAGTGTCAGTCAGGGGGAGGGGCGGGGCGGGGGAGTGTCAGTCAGGGGAGGGGCGGGGCGGGGAGTGTCAGTCAGGGGGAGGGGCGGGGCGGGGAGGTCAGTCAGGGGGAGGGGGCGGGGGAGGGGCGGCTCAGGTGAGTTGGAAACAGTAGCAAAAAAGTTTGTGGAAAGTTTGTGAACAGCTGTGAAGTGTCTGTGCGGCCACTGCTCCTCCTCTCCTCTCCTCCTCTCCCACCGCCACCACCACCACCCGCTGTGCCTCTCCCACACCACCACCACCCGCTGCACTGCCTGAGAGCCTCTACTGTAACCCACTGAAGTTTTGGGGGAAAGAGAAAAGGGGAATAACTTTATTTCTCTCCCCTTTCTCTCTCTCTCTCTCTCTCTCCTCTCTTTTCTCCCCCTCTCACTCTCCTCCCTTTGAAGTTCCACCATGAAAAGTTTGAAGTCGCGCCTGAAGAAGCAAGAAGTCAACCTGACCGTGAGTTTGGGGATGTTTTTGTCTGTCTGTCTGTCTGTCTGTCTGTCTGTGCGTGTGTGTGTGTCTGTCTGTCTGTCTGTCTGTCTGTCTGTCTGTCTGTCTGTCTGTCTGTGTCTGTCTGTCTGTCTGTCTGTCTGTGTGTGTCTGTGTGTGTGTGTGTCTGTCTGTCTGTGTGTCTGTCTGTCTGTGTGTGTGTGTCTGTCTGTGTGTCTGTCTGTGTGTGTGTCTGTGTGTTGTGTGTCTGTCTGTCTGTGTGTCTGTCTGTCTGTGTGTGTCTGTCTGTGTGTCTGTCTGTGTGTGTCTGTCTGTGTGTCTGTGTGTGTGTGTGTCTGTCTGTGTGTCTGTCTGTGTGTGTGTGTCTGTCTGTGTGTCTGTCTGTGTGTGTGTGTCTGTCTGTGTGTCTGTCTGTGTGTCTGTCTGTGTGTGTGTGTGTCTGTCTGTCTGTCTGTCTGTCTGTCTGTGTGTCTGTCTGTGTGTGTCTGTCTGTGTGTCTGTCTGTGTGTGTGTGTCTGTCTGTGTGTGTCTGTCTGTCTGTGGTGCACGTATTTGTTCAGCGACATTAAGTTGGTAAAGTTGAGATGTTTCCCCTCCCCCCACCTCTCTCCCAACCCTTCTCTGGTTTAAGTTAATAGTTACTAAAGTTATTCTGCTTTTCCCAGATTTTTTTTATATTTAAAAAAAAGTGTGCGCGTGTTGGGGACGCGGAAAGTTTTTGTTTAAAATTTTTTGGTATCTTCAACCTTGGGTTTTGACCTCACTGCTGCTCTTTCGACATTCAGATACCAAACTGTACCGTCAATTCACTTTGAGACGTCTCGAAGACGTGATAAGGCGCTATATCAAATGCAAGGGTTATTAATTTTATTATTATAATTTCCCTGCAATTCCACTTTCCTTCCATTGCAATCTGTAAAGTCTTGGCATCATTCACTTTTTTTGTTGCAAGAGAGAAAAGCAAAACTCAATGGGGGGAATATCCTGGTTTGAGCAACAAACTGCCTTGAAGTTTCTTGTTCAGGTGATTTACCCGTCTCCGTGAATCTCCAGGCCGTCTTGCTTCTTTGTTCCAGCGCCTCGGGACGTCCTCCTGACGTGAAAGGCGCTATACAAATGTAATCTTGTTGTTGTTGTTGTTGTTGTTCAGTGCCTTGCAACTGGCGAGCAACACCACACCTAACTAGGCTTTCAAAGGCAGGTTTGAAAGGGCATCTGTAGCTTTTTAATGGAGTTCTTTTCGCACAAGAACCAAGGCTCAAGACTTGATTTGTAAACCAAGTAAGTTTTGTCTACGTAATGGTCTCGCAAGGTTTCAATATGGTTCACAAGGTATTAATATCAGACGACTCAACGGTGTGTTACGGCGCTATATCAAAATGCAAGGATTATTATAATATTATTACAACAGCTGGTGTACCCTTCGTGCAGGGTAGGGTCTCGGAACAGGTGCAAATCGCACACTTGTTGCACTTTACAGGGAATTTGATATCGGTTGAGATGTTGATGATGTCTTGAAGTGCTTCACAGGATGTATCAAAAAGTGCAGTGACTGTATTTTGTGGACAAAATGTGGCAGCCAGTTTGGCAAACAGCAGTGCCCCACCAAACAAGCTATGGAGTGAGTGACCAATTTTAGATTGGTGGATTGTTGGCCAGGAAACCGGCAGAAAGAAACACCCTTCTCGTCTCGAATAGTGACATGGGATCTTTAACATCCACCTGACCAAGTCTGATTATTATTATTATTATTAATAATATGTATTAGTTATGAACACACAGTCCAGTGAGTATTTAACGTGGAGTGACTTTTAAAACATTGGTTGTTTTTGGCTTCAGCAGAAAAGGGTTAAGGGTGGGGAGAGGAAATGAGAGGTTTTTCCAATTGGCAGGGATGTAGACCAGCTATTTCCAGTGCCGGGTGTGTGTGTGTGTGTGAGTAATGCTCTGAGCATTGTTACCGGGAGAAAAATACACTTGGAAAATTGTTTATGAATTGTGAGCAAAGGCTGAGTCTGTATGTGACTTTGAAAAACAACTGGACAGATAAGTGAGGGGAGAAATATTTCCCCAGTATCGAAACTTATGGGGAAAGAGCAGGGCATGGGGTTGGCGTTGATTGGGAAGGACACAGGATTAAGGCCATTTGACCTCTCTAGTGCGGTTGCTGCATTTTATATTTTATCAGATCAGGGCAGATATTTTAATCCCATTTCCCTACCCCACATACACACACTTCTCAATTATCTAGTTAACTCATTTTTTGCGTTTCGCCCCCAAAACACGCCATCGCCCCACTTTACAGTATATTCCGTGAGGCGCTTTGAGACGTCTCAATGACGTGATAAGGCGCTGTCTCAAATGCAAGGATTAGCATCATTTATTATTATTATTAATTCTGTTTTGAACAGCGCTCTGACAAGGAGTGCATTACACATTCTGGCAAATGCTTTGGCTTATTATGGGGCAACATCAGGGTGTGAGTGTGCAAAGTGGTGAGGACAGAGCCAGGCGTAGCTATGATTTCCCTCGCCTGTGTTCACATAGTCTACAGATATACAATGCCCCCACCTCTAACCCTAACCCCCCGCCCGCCATGCGAGTCAGGACTCAGGAGTCGGGAAGATTGCAGAAACTTCCAGTAACTTTCCTTTAACGGTTTCTGAATTTTGTAATAACAAAGGAATTTTTTTTTTAATTTTAAAATCAAGTACTGAGAAGCGGAATCCAGGTAAACCTCCGACCCTTGTTTCTTTCAGCCGAGAGCAACACATCACACTGACTTCCACAATAGTTATTGACTCATTGCGTCTTCGATTGAACGAGCCGGCCTCCCACTGTTAAGATTGTTGGGTTCTGAAAGGTTTCTCTTTTGTTGCGCTTGTGTTTAATTAGTGCGTGAGAGTGGGTGGCTGGCTGGTTTGCAGTAACGTGTGGGTTAGAGTTTCCTGGTATTGCAGTTACACTCGTGTCTGCACTGATTTATATCTGACTCATCATCGCTCAGTCAGTGCAAACGTTGCTCTGATCACTGACTGACTGAGATCTGTGCTCACACTGGGCCTAACTACTCCATGCCCTGCCATATGTAATGCAAGGATTATTACATGCGTGTCAGCTTAGCTCGTGTGCCAGTCCGTAAGATCTCTCTTGCCTTGGAATCAGAGGGTTGTGGGTTCGAGCCCTCACGTCGGGACCTTGAACTCGTATAGTCTCGGCTGACGCTCCAGTTCAGTGCTGGGGGAAGCGTTGCGTTGTCAAAGATGCCGTCCTTCAGTCAAGGCATTAAACTGAGGTCTCAGCTGTGCCCTTTCAGGTTAAGATCCCACAGCACTGTTCAAAACGAGAAGAAAGTTTCTCCCCGTGTCCTGAGTGCCCTGTGGTGAAACTGGTCAGCCGCTTAATGACTGTTTGTGTGGGACGTTACTGTGCGCAAAGTGGCTGCCTTGTTGGTCTAGAAAATATTACACAGTCACTGCAGTTCACAGTAAATACAATGAAGCGCTTTGAGACGTCCTCCCAATGCGATAAGGCACAGTATCAAAGGTGAGGATTATTTAACGTGTGAAGGAATGAGTTAACCAGTGATTTCAGGGTTGTGTGTTTCTTTATAAATCTTGTATTTAGAAACCTTGCCTGATGTCACCAGCCACGGCAGTACAAGTACTGGGGTTTGTTACGTGTTAGTCATATAAAATCCGACCTATGCATAACTCTACACACGTCATACACGCTACGACCTATGCAAGGTTGGCATTCCTCGTACTTTGCCTCAGTCATATTAAAAGACTGGTTCAATTTATGTGAGTTTTTACTGTACTCCCCAGAATTGCTTCATCTCAGTGTTGAGACTTTCCTCCTTTCCCTCCCCTCCCAGGGTATTTCTGTTGGGTACCCAGAGTGTTCAGTGGATTTGGCTGTAAGTACTGTGGTTTGGGAAGATAAATCTGGGGAGGAGGGGAGTGGGGGGGGGAGGCGTGAGAGAGAGAGAATTTGCTTATTTAATGGTATCTTGTGTGTGAAGCTTCAGGTTAACTTCGAAGCTGTGGGAGGTGGTGAGGAGATTAAACTTGTGTCCGGAGTGGAGAGCGAGTGAGCGTTCAGTGTAACACACATAACCCAAGTCTGATTAACTCTGAGACCTCAAACCCCTGTAACCCCTATACGCCACTCGCCTGAGAATAATCCCTCAAGAAATAAGAATTCGGTCACTCAATCCACGACTGTTTGTGGGGACGCTGCTGTGCGCAATTGGCTGCCGCGTTTCGCCCACAAATATACACGCAATTCACTTTACAGTATATTCTTGAAGCGCTTTGAGACCTCCCGAAGACGTGATAATGCGCTGTATCGATTGCGAGGATTATTACAAGAACCCAGTTCTGACGAAGGGTCGTAGACCCGAAATATTGACTCACTTTCCTTTCTCCATAGACGCTGCTGAGTGTTGCCGCTCTGTTTTTGTTTCAGGTTTTCAGCATCTGCTGTATTTTGAGTTTTGCGCAAGGATTATTATTAATATTATTCTAATGATTTCACTGTTAGCAGCGTTGTGGGTCAGGCTGACTACACGGCAGGTTTCCACGCCCAGGATGTAAGGCAGCTTTGTGACAGCAAGTATGGACTTGCTGTGGCTTCTCAATATGTTTTATTTTGGTTTCTTTGACAAGAAAAGAGCTCTCCTTTTTTGCTTCTCTCCCCCATACCCCCACTCTCTCCTCTTCCCTCTTTCTGGCTTGCGCTGGGTCAGTCAGTCGAGCAGTGCCTCTTGTTTTTTCCCCCAGTGTCTGTGTTCTGTAGATAACAGTCCATTTGGATCAATTGACCGTTCGCTGCGCTGCTGTTTGTCAGACTTCATCACCGTCGTCTTATGTGGTCAGATCGCGATGTGTAAAAGGCCAGTGGACAATGTAATGTAAGGGGTCTGACTCCGAGGCGAGGTTGCTACCGACTGCGCCGCACTGACACCTGAAGTGCTGTGTTTTACAGCTGCTGTTTTCTGGGGG